AGGTGGCATTGCAGGCACAAGAAAAGATTGATGTGTTGTGGGGGGTCCAGGGTGGCCTTCAGAGGGCAGGTGGGAGAAGACAGACATATGAAGCAGTGGGGAGCCATTGCTGGCCTGTTTGAGGGCTTCTCTGTGTGTCAGCTGTGTCAGATGTTGTCAGTGTCTTGAGTTTGGGCGCTGAGATCAATCCGGGTTCCTAGTTGGCATCGTTCTCTTCTGGCTGTGGGACCTTACAAGATCATCTTCCTCCTTGCTTCTGGACTGAGTGGCCACAAAGGCCCTACGGTGACTGCAGCACTGACTGTGCTCCCTAGGGCTGGTCTGCAGAGCCTACCCTCAGGCCTGTGTGACATATACACTTTGCGTGAACTGTTATCATCCCCATGCCCTCAGGTTGGTGCCAGTGTTCTTCCCACGAGGGGCACAGGGAGCCTCACTTGGTGCTTGCCCCAGATCTGAACACAGGGTGCTTGACTTTGGGTGGTCCTCAGGGCTGCTGCTTCCTTGAGGTGCGTGGCACCGTGTGGGCAACAGCCTGGGCCCAAAAGCGGGATTCACCCAGCTCTTCTCACCTGCTCGGGTGATTGGACCGCTGTCTGTGTTCTCGTCTGCTTTCGGGCAGGTGATGGCCCTTAGCACAAAGCCCTTAGTTTGCTGTGTAGTTGGGTGAGTGGACCAGGGAAGGCCCTTCTTTCTGCCTCTGTGATCTCATGCTAGCACTGCCTCTCGGTGCCTCAGTTTACCCCTGTTGTGCTGCAGGCAGGGTTTTGGAGAACACTGAGGTCATGGATTGGGTGAGTTTGACCTGGGTGCCCGGCCTGTGGGGACTTCTCGGTCCAAGGACCCTGCTCCCAGATGCTTCTGCTCCAGCTTGGGAAGGCAGGTCTCATGGTCCTGAGGGGCTCAGTTCTGGTGGTCTTGGCATTGGGTTGGTCCTGTACTTCTCCAGGGAGATGGGAGCATGGGCCTGGGGGGTCTGGGTGGGTGGCGGGAGGGGAGCACACTCCCAGGGGCATGATGGCTCATTCCCCACCTGTGTCACTTTTCCTAGGTCAGGAGGAAAGTGGGTCTGGCCTTGGGTCTCTGGGAATGGCATGCCTATGTGCAAAGAAACCTGCAGGGCTGGGGTGGAACTGTTTGGCAGGCATGTGTCTGAGTCCAGAATGAGAGCAGGGTTGGAGGTGGACACACAGTGGTTGCTAAACCCACTTAGCTAAACACACTCAGCCGCGTGACCCTGCTGTGTCAGCCCCACTGGGTGCTGGGCATGTCCCAGCCCTCAGGGATATAGCAGAGCCCTTTGAAAGACATCATCCATGCCTGAGTCCGAGAGTGGCTGGATTTTGTGTGGCTGTGCCAAGCACAGGGAGGACAGGCCAAGAGCCTCTCCTCCCCGGAGACCTGATGTAAGCCCTGGTGACCAGGAAAGGCTCCGAGCTGAGACTTGGAGGCTGAAGAGAGAGGGTTGTGTGTTCTTGAGATCCCTCACCAATAGGGTGAGGTTACCTTAACGCAGGTGGCAGGTTTGGGTGTGAACTTGGATCCTTGTGGTCCCAGGGTGGGATTGTTGCTGCTTTGCCACGTTGGCATCTGTCACAGTTGTTCTGAGGAACGGTGGCAGCTGGGCAGGTTTGGGAGACACGGTGTTTTCTCTGCCAGCCGTCACCGGGCCGGGAGGAAGGCAGGCCTCCCTGCAGACCCCCAGGGTTCCGGTGACGGTTTGGCTGGGCACCAAAGTCCGTTCCTTCCTCCTTCCCTCAGGAGTTGTGTCCACAGTGGTCCCAGACTCCGCCCACAAGCTGTTCATTGGGGGCCTTCCCAACTACCTGAACGATGACCAGGTAGGTCTCTCACTACCCACCCCACCCCACCTTTGCCCAAACCAATCCTAGTGGCGTCATGATCTCCTTGGCAGGTGAAAGAGCTGCTGACATCATTCGGGCCTCTCAAGGCCTTCAACCTGGTTAAGGACAGCGCGACTGGGCTCTCCAAGGGCTACGCCTTCTGTGAGTACGTGGACATCAACGTCACGGATCAGGTGAGCCCCAGGCCCATGGCGCGGTTGTGTCTGCCATTGCCTTTACCCTGCTCTGTGTCCACCCGGAGGTCTCCCCTTGGAGTTGGGGAGGAGGCAGCCAGCAGTGGCAGGGCCTGCCTGGGGCTTCCCAAGCTCTTGGCCCCTTGCCTTCCCTTCTTTCCCTTCCAGTGCCCAGCTCTGGGATGCTAGGGTTCAGGGGTGGCGTCGGGCTCCTGGTCCCTGACCCACACCTCTTCCCTACATTCCCCCATCGTCCCTCCAACGTAGGCTATTGCGGGGCTGAATGGGATGCAGCTGGGTGACAAGAAACTGCTGGTCCAGAGGGCGAGTGTGGGAGCCAAGAATGCCACGCTGGTGAGCCCCC